TATTTTTTACTGTTCCCAATTTTGTTTTGTTTTTGCTTTTACCTGACAGTGGGACTGAAGTATCAATATCAACATCTGAAAGTGTTGATCACTTATTGGAAGATTTAACCTTCCTTTTTAAGAAGGTAGGGGTCATGTCTAACTACTTGTCAAAGTTTTGCTTATTTGAAGTCAGGTTCAGGCTACTTTAATTTCTCATGTCTCACTACTTGATGCATTGCTTACTATTAACTTCAGTTTCTCGTGACAATTTTTGCAGATGCTCATTTTAAAAATCCCTGTAAGTTCACCCATTTCCTTGAAATGTTTTACAGCTTATATTTACATGTATATGCAATTCATGCTTTCATGATATTGTAAGTTGATATTTGGATTTTGGAGTATGGATAGCGCAGTTTATTGGGAGAGGATAGTGGTTCTTTGAACTTTGAATAACATGGTATGCATTATGAAGCATCTTATAGGGCATTCTTTGTGACTCTAATCAATTGTTAATATGTAATTCATTGATGCAGTCCATGAAAAATCTGCATATCCATTGTTTTAATCAGCCTTCCATTTGAAGAAGACATTAATAATTTTTTTCAAGTATGAGAAAAATGTTTTCTTGAATTTTGGCTAAACATTGAACATCATACTTAGATTGCTGAAATCTCTGTATGGTTTAGCACATATGGCTTTTTCTATTACAGTTTCTTTGAAAGTAGCTTAGGTTACTTTCAAGCTGTTGATTAATTATGATTCATTGCAGATGGTTGCTGTCGAACTGTTGGTTGATTATAGTATCATGCCAGGATCGCATATTGGAAGTTGTATTCTGGCCATTGAGTGCGGTTCTTTACCTTTAACCACAGAAAGCATCACCTCCCTAAGATCAGGACTTGAGGATTATGTCCTTAAGCATGGGAATAAACTGAATAGTATTTGTCAGTCTTGCTTCTTGACTGGGTGAGTCCTGAATGAGCTAGTGCTATCAGTGTGTTATTTGGTTCATGCTCAGAAGGTGGGGATTCTTTAAGGAAATATGGTTGTAATTTGTAAATGATTCAAGTCCTTTTTTCTATTACACCCAATCAATTGAGTGGTGAAGATGCGAAGTTTGTTAGGACCCTTCAGTGTCTTGCAGTACAATTATACTCCATAATAATCTTAAGTTGCAGTACACTATATTTTTCTTAAACCATAATTTCTAACCTATTTCCAGGGAAAATTTGAAGGTTGGCACTGGAATTGCTAGCTGCTCAGGAAACATGCAAAATAATAGACTGGTGATGGAAGCTGTGATTATTATCAGTGAACTGTCTGAGCTAGCAACTCCATCTTGCTTCAGGGAACATGAAATGGAAACAGAGGTTTAACTTTGGGAACTCAGTTACCAATAATTTTGTTATTGGACTTTCATTCAATATTTGGATCTTCTGATTGAAACTGATGGTGGTTAAAACTGTGTTTTAGATCTTCATCTTTGTTGGTAAACTTATTTTGCTGAGGGGTTTCTTCTCTATATTTGGAGTTACTGATCGAAAAAGATGATGATTAAAATAGTGTTTTTAGATCTTCTTCTTTAGGGACTTTGTACCCTGTACTGCTCCCCAATCATCACTGGATGCGTTGAAAGGCATCAGTTGGAAAAGCTATGGATTGACTCTGAGGAACATTAAGGATCGAGGTGGTTGTGCATTGCTTGAATGGGAAAACTTGCCACCATCTGTCCACATCGATATTGTCATCCATTATTATGACAAACAATATCCTTCACAATCTGATATATAGCTTAGAGGACCTTTTAAATTGGTGTGAAATCTATCATATATTGTTACCCTAATAATTGCGTCTATTGCATTGCATTTGTCTTTTTCATAACTTCTTGTCAAGGTGAAAGCACTGGATACACAGATCGGTCAAATTGATCGAAGTCTTACCAGAAAAGCTGTCAAGCTTGCTCTTGATGATTTGAAGGAAAAGAATCAAGGTGTTCTTCTCAGTAGACATGCACAGAAGGTAATTCTTGTTGCCTCTCTCATGCCATATCCTGCATCTGTTCATCTGCTAGAAAGAGAACCTCCTTTACCCCCCATTTGGTGGGGTCATAAGAGTTTCTAGAGTCTGTCAAGAAGTCATTTTCAAAACATCCAAACTATGCTTCATTCTCATACACCGTCTCTTGGGGGTGAGGGGTAGCTTTTGGTGTAGTGCTAAGCGTTTGATCCTAACAAGTAACATCAGAGCCCGGTCACGGGTTCGAGTAGTTAAAACTTAAAACCAGCAGGTGCTGAGAGGGAGAATTGTTAGGAACTTGGTGATCTATGAGATCTACCACACAATTTTGTTGTTCAGATTCATACATTTCTTCACCTGTGTGTCCCTCAGATATGCAATTATGCACCTGATCTTGCAAAAACAATCGCTCGCCTGATCTTATCCTCAAATGACCTTAACTTCCAAGGGGAATGCTGCTCTCTTCTGGGACTGCAGCGTCGGGATATGAAGATGGAAGCGGTTGAATGTTCCATCAGAGAGAGGATAGTTTCAGTGATTGGAAAAAATGACCAAAAGCCTCAGAGAAGTAGAAGAGAAGCTGCAGAGCTTCTTTTCGAACCGGACTTGATGGAAGACGAATATCACCAGGAACTTGAGGAGGAGGAGGAGGTCTACAATTCTTTTGACTTAGAGTAGAATGCTCAGGTATGTACATATATGCTTTATATTATATTCTCTCACACACATTTCAATTTCATTAGCAAAATATTGTTGAGAGTTAGGCATAAAGCTTCACAACAAGCATAACTGTACTGAACTATTATTGAAACACATTTCATATTATTTAGATTAGTTTCAGGATAAATATACTACTTCAAAAGTGTGAATGAAAATGTATATACTATTGAGCAAGGAGCAGACATATGTAGTACAGTAAGTAGTAGAAAAGATTAGCAGAAGAAATAGGATGCAGTCTAGTTACAAATAATAAATTTAGGCTATTTATGAGCTAATAGCCTAATATCACTATACCAGGAGTCTTTGGAATTTCTATTCCCGGGAATTATATTTCTAAGAACAAAATACATTAATAAACAATGGAATATACATATTCTTGAAAATGTCATTCTATTTCAAATCTATTTCGCAAACCAACCAATCACCCATGACAACCACAAAGTGACAAATCCCATTGGTGTACAGCAGTTATACCATGGACTTAAGTTCACCTTGCAAGGTGAACCCGAATCCACAGAATGATTTGTCATAATGCGTTTTTCCACGTACAAATGTGCAATGATTGTTGTGGATTAGTATATCCATAAAGTTGTTCCATTTATATATCTTCATGCAACGTGCCATGCAAAAAGGTATTACTATTACACATATCTAATTGTCACAAGGACCATTTTTAACTTACACAATGGTAAGTACAATGCAAGCAAATTGTAGTAGGCTTCATCAACTCAATCCTTGTTAACCATCAAAAGTAGTGTCAAAATGTAATTTTTATTAACTTCCTACCGACTTTTAGCGTGTTCCCAATCAAAAACTCAATTTGGTTTCCCTTTATCCCTCTACTCCATCATAGCACCTAAACTCCTATCCTAGGTGATATAGTTGATGACAACAAAAGCAAGGGAGTCGACGACAAATCAAGGACGTGGCTAGTTACTGGTATTAGGAAAATTATACTTGGGTCATAGTTCACACTACAATGTGGACCACTCATACAGATTTATTTTTAGTATATTGTAAATTTATTTTTAATATTTTACAAGTTCATTTTTTAAGTAGTCAACTAAAAATAACTTACCGTTCTAAAAAATGAACATGTATCAAAATATAATGAACATACTAAAAATGAAAATGTAATTCACTAAAAATATAATAAAAATAAATTTATATCAATAGTTTATTTTACAATGTCTACAATTGATAAGAGCAAGCGGATAGTTATAGTGACAATTGTATCTCCTTCACTGGTGTCAGCCGTAATAATAATTTTTTTTTTTAAAGTAGATTTATAAGCTTGATAGATATGAAGAAAATGGAAACTCGCCATTTCAATATTGATGCAATGTTGGCCATGTATATTGTGTTGTGATTGTTGTACATTGGGGATTATTTTAACTGTTTTATCCTTACCACAGTTTAGCTTCTGACTTTTATTTTGAAAAATTCACAACTAATATCATGTGTACTGAATAAACTTTACTATAGTATAATAACTCACAAATTATTTATGTGTACTGAATAAACTTTACTTTTTTTTTTTGGTAGGGACTGAATAAATTTTACTATTGTGTAATAACTCACAAAATACATTAAAAAAAATAAATCATATTAAAAAACAATCATTATATCTTGGACCTGATCCATTTAACCATTTCTGTTGAGACACACGATAACTACATATACTTGTAATTTGTATCTGTAGTTATCATGTTATATGTCTATAATTACCATATGTTTTTAATTTGTTTATATGTATAGAAATTATTAACTACAAATATAGAATATTTTAACAATGAACACATAATTTTTAAACTAAAATTCACAATGCAATACAAATCATGATCCATGATATAATAATTAGTATTAGAACCATTTTTAATATATTAAAGATTTATTTTAATACATTAAAAGTGTATTTTTAGACACGGAAGGTTCATTATTTGATATGCTTACAACTTACAAAACCTTCCGTATACAAACAATGACCTCAATATATTAAAAATAAACATTTATCTATAATCTACATACATTGCAATATGAGTCATAATCCATAGTATAATTTGACTCTAAAAGTTTAGAAAGACCTTGTACAAACAACTCAACTAAGAAGAGTGTTGACCAAAATCAAACTAGTAATATATTCTTTAAATATTAGAATTATGCTTCACCTACTCAACCGTCTTTTTCAAGACAAATGACTTATAGCCTTGTAGGTAGAATTACTCAAGTGTCCTCAACATTCATAACAACAATAATAATAATGCCAAGGGGGAAGAGAGAGAGAGAGCTAAGTAAAGCAATTTAAAACGTGAAAAGAAAGTAGGCCATTTACTAGTTCAAAACATGGTACTCAAGTCTAGAGAAAAAAAAACAGTTACATATATCTGAAGTTCATAACCCAATTTTTTTAGATAAAAAACTACTGCATCCAGGATCAATCCACGACGACAAACCAACGCTATACCGCTTTAGGCCTGTAAATAAAGCAGTATTTACAATCTCATTTACAAATGGTAGTGAGATAGATTTTACCCAGCATGCAGAAAGTCCAAGTTAAAGAATTTTACCTTGTTAGCAATGTTGTTAGAGAGCCAATCAAGACCTTCATAAAGCCCCTCTCCAGAAGTTGCACAGGTGCTCTGGATGTACCTGTTAACACCCAAAGGACAAACTCGCAAAACCCAGAAGATAAAAAATTAAAGCACAAACCTCAAAATCTTTAGAAACTTTACCAGTGACGTTGCCTCAGAGAGTGGAGACCAAGCTTATCTGTTATCTCCGCAGCATTCATTGCATTAGGAAGATCTTGTTTGTTGGCAAACACCAGTAGGACAGCATCCCGGAGCTCATCCTGTAGTAAGCGTCAATCATTAGCTATATATATAAAAGTTCACCTTAATCAAAGCTAAATCTCTTGCTCCCAAGCGGATAACTGCTGACACGTGTCCAAAGCTTATACCTCAAAGGCTCAAACCGATAAATACCCTAGTACTTAGGATGCATTGATTCCTACAATTATGGCATTCCCATAGGTCTAATCAAAATTGTAAAATAAATTTAAAATTACATTAAAGAAAATTGAAAGACTCATGGATACTTGCATAAGATGTCTTCTATATAAATGGTGGAGAGTAGGAAAGAATCTAGCCAAACCTTAGTGTTGACAACCATAGAGTAAGCCATACTTGGTCATAGAGAGTATTAATTACGAGTATCATACAAGGAATCGAGCTTTGTCCAATTCATTTCTCATGATTTGGGGAATTTTCCCCACCCTAATTTTGTAACCAACGTGTAATGCAAACAGCAATCATGAGTATAATGAAGGCAATGGTCACAGTCACCAACCAAACACAAGCATAGTGAGGAAAGTGGTTTCACAATTGATTAGCTATACCCATCCAAAATCAACACTATATAAAGAACATTACCTCTCCATTCTAGAACTGTCAAAAAATATTGTTAGTGCTTCAAACTTCCAAGTTTAAGCCACCTACTCAAGCATTCATTGCATAGCTACAAACACCAGTGGTTTCCCAATTTAGCAAGTTATGTCTCAACTTTCTTCTCATTCAGTACAGTTTCTTTCATTGAAATCCCTTCTAATCATCATTCTCAAATGGCTCCAAATGGAATATAACAAGTTTCTCCCAGGCTGGCAGAAAGAAAGTATTGACCCAAGCAAAACCAAAAAAAAAAAAAAAAAAAACATATGCCCTAGTCCTGAGGCTAACATACGTCAACCAAGCAACACTATCATCCTTGAGCATCAAGGTGCTCAATTACCAACAGAGGAGCAAGATCTCTCTTTGAATAATGTTTCCCATGAAGCATTGTCTTGCTTCAATGGCGAGGAAATATGCCAAGAGCTTAATGATTTGCCTTGGAGAGCTAACACACTTACTAGGAGAAATTGCACAGCATGTAGGACAACATGCTAACCAGGTCTCCTGCTCCAATAGGCATGAAGACCTTTATCTCATGCACCAAAACAGGCCAATCATGTAGATTCAAGCCACTTCATAATTAACAAAGAGGAAGAAGAGAACATCGGCCCACCCAAAGTACTACTCGCTGTATCCATGGATCTAGAAGATTCAGAAAGTGACAACTTGAAGCAAGTCAATGAACTTGAACAAAGGATAGGAATAACATCAAGAGATCCAGAACAATCCTCTAATAAGACTTTTGTTAGACCTTAATTCCAAAATTTTTGACATACCTATAGACATGTCTAAATAAAATATAGGAATTAATATGCAGAAAACTAATTACAGAGATAATTTAAAAAAAAAAAAAAAAACATCAACATCAAATAGTAAAAATCAGATTTCAGAAGCAAAAGGAATCAATACTCAGATACTACATGTGCACCTTACCCTTATTACATAAACTTATCTGTTACTTCAAATAAGTATGCATCATTTTATAGAGTTATATAAGCTTACCTGTCTCTTCTACCAGCAATAAAATATATATGTAGACATAATGAAAGCCTTCTTACCTCATTCAGCATCCTATGCAACTCATCTCTTGCCTCCACGATACGGTCCCTATCATTGCTATCAACAACAAAGATGAGGCCCTGTGTATTCTGGAAATAGTGCCTCCACAATGGACGGATCTACCAAATGCACACAGGATGGGAAGTACAGATTATACATCAATAGAGAGATTACAAAGGGATGTAAGAGATGTACACATTAGTTTCATGCCACGCAACAGATCCTTAGAGATAGAGCAAAAAGAAAGAAGTTTATTATTAAACTAGCTCTTTTCAAGCAATCTCTTAACCTCATGAATTGATATGTATAATTTACTGAAACTAATTACATAAGAAAAGAGATGAAAATAAAAATGATTATACCTTGTCCTGACCACCAACATCCCAAACAGTGAAGCTGATGTTTTTGTACTCAACAGTCTCCACGTTGAAACCTGTAGAAAGTCAATCATTACTGATAGTGCCAAAAAAAAACAAAAACAAAAGCACCAGAGTTTGATAATAATCATATAAAGGCTGAAAAGATTCTAATTTCAATGAAAGCCCAAGTCAGGGAAGACCCTGCTCCTTGAGGAAAGGAAAAGGGCAAGAAAATTCAAAATCAAGAATTTTTAACAAACCTATACCTAATAAAGAGGATCTGCCTTGCCTCATGCAGTGTACATTTTATATTTCCAAAACAAACATTATAGATCATGTTTAGATAAATAGGTAAAGGCGTATTGTGTACAAATACATGAAAACCAAGATAACATAGAAACAAGCAAGAAACTCATACTCTAGAGGTGCACTATAGAGAACTATGCCGAAGGCGAAGCCATACTGCATAATACAAAGTAAAGAACTTAAAAAACCAACATGGGGGAAAGTGCATACCAATGGTAGGAATTGTAGTGACAATCTCTCCAAGCTTGAGCTTGTACAAGATGGTGGTCTTACCAGCTGCATCAAGACCAACCATCAGAATGCGCATCTCCTTCTTGGCAAAAAGCCGGCTGAAGAGCTTGGTAAAACTGAGTCCCATTTCTCTTTCTTGCTGAGATACCTATGTATCATTAAGTTGCATCAAAATAAAAATTTCAAATCTCTGAAGTTGATCAAATCATAGTATCATATTCTCACGTTGCATCGCAGATCAAGATACAAATATAAGTTCTAAAAACAAACGAATAACGTAATCATTTTCTTTTTCGATCTGGATCTAAAATTTAAAATTCCATGATTCGAGCCCTACAGATTTTCAGAGATCGCAGCCTTTTCACAAACCAATAATCTTCAGATCAGATCAATACAACCAAAAAAAAAAAAACAAACAACAACATAAAAATCTCACAGAAAAACTGTCTCCGGCAATTACAAATAATATCGCAACGTAAATTCGAGCTACTTTTCCGCTAAACGACGAATTCCAAGTAAAAAAAAAAAAATTTAAAAAGAAAAAAGAAAAAAAAGAGAGGAATCTAAGGCATTTTTAACAAAAACTTACGGTTTACGAATCAATAACATACATACATAACTCGGTATGGCAAAATTTTGTGTGAGAATTACCTGAAAGGTGTTCCTGTGAGATGGATCTAGAGAGAGAAAGCGCGCGCACGGCGGAGAGAGAGAGGGAGCTGGGAGAAATGGAGCCGGTTAGAATCCCGGAACCTTGTGAGGCAATAAATATAGGGCGAAAGGTGAGTGTGGAATTGTAAATGCGCCATCTATTTTTGTTTCTATCTAAAATATACCATCCGATTAAACTTTAGGTTTAGATTTAGGCGAAAATAAATAAATAAATAAATATAAATAAATAAAGGCAAAGCGTCGTGGGTTTGAGCCTAAGTGAAGTTGATATTGACTCTTTTGTGTTTTAATAGATTGAGAAAGTAATTATGAATAGATGCTAACATTATAATAGAGTCAGTAGTATTAAAAAAAGGCAAAAATTCATGTGAAACCGTTTCACAGGTCATGTTGAGATGAAAATGTAATAATTATATAAGAAAATAATACTAATTAGGAATATTGTGTATATTTTAGGAGTTAATTACCGATTTGGTCTCTCGATTATGAGAATTTCACTAATTTGATCCTCGGCTACTCAAATTTCTCAATGTAATCCTCAACTATGTTTTTTATACACGAAATGGTCCTCAGTCAAATTTTCTGGTCAAACTAAAAGGGAAAATTCGGGATTTGAAAAAATCAATTTAATTTCTCGTCAAACTAAAAAGGGCTCTCAGATTCACCCGACGACGGAGGCATGGAGAGCAACTGCCGAAGCTTCGTCTCTCCTTCTTCTTCTTCTCGCCCAGCAGCATAGATCCAACTTCGGGAGGCTTATTGGGATTTTTGATCGGCGAAATTCTCCGGCGGCCCCGAACCCGTTTCGGATTTCTACCCACGCTAGTGTGACAATCCAAAATTTAATTTTATAAATTCAGTTTTAAGAAATTCCGAAATAGTCATTTCACTCCGTAAAAATTTTTGCGATGAATTCGGTGTTGAATAAATTATTTTGAGTCACTTTTAAATAAATTCAACACCGGGACTTATTTTAAATCTAACATCCTAGATTTTCGGGTACATTGCGTACCAAGTTTCTGATCCAAAAGTCAATCTGAGTGAAACCGAAAAGGAACCTGTGAAATCTGAACCAAGTGTTTTAATTAGAACTATCTTTTGGAAAATCTATTTTTGACCCCAAGTTATTCAAAAATCATCTTTTTAGACTATGGTTTATGGTGCAAGGTGAACCCTACAATTTTATTTTACATTTTTACCCACAAACCCTAAGTATAAGGGATGGCATTTTTCCCTTGTTGCACTATTCATTCAAAAGAAATCAGCAGCTCTCATCTAAGCCTGTGTTCTAAGCTAGATGTGTTAAAGAAGAAGACCTTGGATTTGAACCCCCCTAACCCCTTATTTAATAATCCAAACCTCTTCCACTTGAGCAACTTCACCCTTTATGAAATTATCTTGGTTTATTTAATATATTACTTATTATTACTTAGACTTGAAGGTTTATTTATAATTAAAAGTATTTTTATAGAAAATCATAAATATGTTTGAGAAGGGGTTAACTACCAAAAGCTATGATTTGCCAAGAAAGCCGTATTTCAAGAATTATATATATATATGAGCATATATGTTTTGGGGAAATATTATACTTGATTTTGAGAATATATACTTATATAATTATGTATGTGGTGTATATTTGATTATAAAGATATTTTAAGCTTATTTTATTATTTCCCTAGAATTTCTTAGCTATTAACATCGTATACTTTGGGAAATACAATGTATCCCTAGAAAGGTTTAATCTAAGAGCTTTTGATCAATAAAGTGTATAACCCCATGGTTCGTGTGTTGTTCCCTGTGCAATGGCCGGGCCCTTGCGGCTCAGCTACGTGTCGTTTCGGATAAGGTGTCACGGGCCCTTGTGGCTCGGTACCTCGGGGCCGTCTTGACGCACGTTTTGGCTTTGATTTCGTTGAATTTGGATTAGAAATGAGCATGTTATGGTAGAATTTGTATGAAATGCTTCATAGTAATGATATTTGAGTTCACTGTTTTGGGAATTGCTTTGTTTTATCCTCCTGATGCTAATTGTGTATTGAATAAAGAAGCATGAACACTTTGTGAATAAGAATTGTTAGAAAAGCACGAGTAGAATGTGTTGTATGTTCAATGGAATTCGAAGTCTACTTTGATGGTAGAAATATACAGAGTTTGATATGTTGCAAACCAAGCATAATATGGTGTTCTTGAGAAATCACTGTGATATATAGATTTGAAGCATGTTGTTCAGTAAATTGCATTCCAAGTATATCATGTTTTAAAAGTGCATAAGTGGCCAACGTGAGCCTAAGTATTACTTTCGAAAATTCATGAGCATGTGGTATATCATTACCTTGTTGCATTGAGAAGTTGTTGAGATGTGACATGCATAAGTTTCGTGCATGATATATATATATATATATATATATATATATATATATATATATATATATATATATATATATATATATATATATATATATATATATATATATATATATATATATATATATATATATATATATCAGTGAGGTTTTGGAGGACCCCGTTTGGACTACGTCCTCTCGGAAGAAAGAAATTGGAAACTGCCCGCCAGGCTTGGAATCCTGGTCAGGGGGTGTGCACGTTGATAGTTCGATACCTGATTCCACAGAGTTTGAGCATAGAACAAAAGAGTGGTTCGGTGGATGAGATGAGTATTAGGCCGGCTAGACGCCGTGCTCGGATAGGTTCGTTCACGCTACGGTGAAGTTCCTACCTCGTCCATTTGTAAATAAAGCGAGTCATTGCGACTCTAAGAAAAGAAAGAAAGAAAGCGAGTCCTTGTGGCTCTAAGAAACCTCCACAGAAAAGTATTCTATTTTTACAAACGAGTGTATGAGTATACTTATTGTATTTCACGAGATTGCATAATGAGAATGTGTGCATAATGTTGCATTTGAGTATAGTATTGCACTAGATTGCATATTAGAATAATTAACCGAGATTGTATATTGAGTATGATTGCTTTAGTTGCATTTTGATATCTTATATATCTAGTTTGCATGATGAGAACTTGAAAGTATGAAGATAATTTCGTATTGGTTGTTAGTATGAAATTGATTGATAGCATGAGTTTGTTATGATGAGTTTTGTTATGAGAAATATGTGTTGGAGTGTTTGTGTTGAGGAGTTATATATATTTGAAACATGCCTGATGATATTATAGGTTGCAAGCATACAGAAGTTGTCTAAGTGTTGAGATTGCTTGATTAAAGTTTGTGAACAAATGTTTTTCCAAAGTATATACTGTAGTACTTTACAGGGTTGAGTGTGGTTATAATTAGTTTCGTGCTAACGGGTGTTTTCCTACTTGTCTACTTGTTGTTTTGTAAAACCCCTTTCAGGTGGGCCCAGCGTTTGAGAGATGATCGAGTTAGACTAGTTTAGTAGATCTAGTAGTCTAAACTCCCTTTATTATTATGATGTTTGATGATGGATTGTAGACTTATGATGCTTATGTTCGATGATAGACATCAGGGTGTTTTTCCCCAAGTGACTTTAAGTTAAGTAATTTGAATGTTAGTTCGGTTTAATGATTTAGTTCCATCCTTAGCCTGTGCAATCACCGTGGAGAGGTGGTTGTGGCGGTGACGTTCCCACTAGTTTATTATTTAAGTTGTTTATCCGCTGCTTAGTTTATCTTCATTTTGGTATTAGAACTGTAATTAAGTTTAAGAAAAGTGGGGTGTTACAAGTTGGTATCAGAGCGGTACGAACCGCGGGAGACTTAAGAAGTTTGACTCTTAGGATTGAGTATAGAAACTCTAAGTGGAAATCCTAGGAAGGACCGATTAGGAAATGACCTCTATGTTGGAACCCTAAGTGGGATAAGTTAAGAAGATGAGCTTAAAGGAAATCCTAGGAAGGATAAGATTGGGGAAAAAACCCTAAGTTATGAAAATTAAGATGAGAAAGATTCTAAGTTCAGTGGCTAAGTATGAGAATCAGAGTTAAGAAAAACTCTAAGTATTAGTTAGGAACGCGGTGAGGTTGTGAGTTTTCCTTGCGGTTGCTTATCTGTTTATGTGCTTTATCAATGTGTTTAAAGTGCAGCTTGTTTATCTTTTGTAAGTGAAGAAGAGAAGTAAAAGTGAAAAGCTAGAAGTTGAGACTTTGAAAGTTAAAGTTTGAAAGTAGAAGTTTTGTAAAAGTTGCTAATGTGGAAAGTATAAGAGCTTATACTTGTTTCTTGTTTATGTACCTTATTTGTTGTAAGCCTTGCTTTAAGAAAAGGAAAGTTAAAAGCAGTTAATTCTTGAGTATCTCGTTGTGTTCATTGTGCCAATATTCTATTCTAAATCCCTTGTTGTTGATGGCATGATAATCCTTGAATTCGTACCATCAAGCTTGAGCTTATGCTTTCTGGAAATTTTCTCGTAGCTTGTTATTGATTCCTGAGTCATTCTGGCTACTTCCAGTTTGCTTTCAATGTCTATCGAAGCTATCTAATGTCTAGAGTTGAGTATGAGAAGTTGTTTTCTTTGAGTTGAGCCTTGAATTATTGCTAATGTCTATTCTTGATATTCCACGATTTATTGTTGAATCTGTATCTAGAATGCTTATAAATTCTTTCTAAGTATTCTTTTGAGCTATCGTTGACTTGCAATGCTAGTATAATTGAATCTTGAAGCTAGTATGATCTTGTTGAAAGTCTTATTCTTGGAATCTCATTGTATTTGAATTGAGCTTATATTCCTTGAAATTCATATTGTTGGAATCCGTATTTGTTGAGTTATTCCTACGAGCTTATATCTGTTGAGTATTCTTGAAAGTATTTTGTTCTTGAAGGGCTATTTTATTGACTATGTATCCTTTTTGTACTTTCAGATCATGTTGCTATTGTCTTGAGATCGTCTATTGTGGTATTCTTTCTTTGTTATTGAGCTATTGAGCTATTGATTCGAGACAATCTTTCTTTTATATCTTCTTTTGGAATCCACTAGTGTTGATCTATTGCTTGAGATTAAATCCCTATTGCATCTCTATTTGGAATCCGTTAGTATTGAGTTATTTCATTGAGACTATTCTTTGTTGTGTCCTTCTCTTGGAATCCGTTTTGCAGCCTTTGTTTCACGAGACTCC